CCCTGTGCGCCGGGGACCCCGGGGCGGGGGACACTTTGAGAAGAGGCTTGGAAATGAGCGCCGGGAAGCTTGCCTAGTTCTGAGACGCAGCCACAGTCTCGGGTCGGCTTGCCTCCTTTCTGTCTTCCTAGTTGAATCTTAAAGACATCTCTAAATCCTAAGCGCTTGTGATTGGGTAAACAAAACAAAACAAAAAGAATAGAACCGCGACAAGCTTGGTAGGGCGAGCCCGAAAGGGGGTCTCCAGTCATTGCAAACCTGGTCTCCCGGGTCTAAAAAATGACTCACAGATGTGGAAAGCAAGGTAATGAGTTGCTCTCTTTCCTGATGGGGAGATTTATTCTGTTAATTAAAGGGAATTTTAAAAGACCACTTGGTCTTTTAAAATAATTTGCCCCGTTCCCCTCCCCCAAACGGGCACCGCAATTGTAGACCTTAGACTTCTTTAAGCCGCTCATTTCAGGTCATCTAAAGCCAAGATTTACAGGTAAGCCACCTACTGAGCTCAAGGCGGTGGTGTGAAGCCAAATCCGACAAGTGTGTCACCCTGCGTGACAGTAATCAGATGGCATTGTAGAAAGACAGGTCTCAGGAGCGTGTGGTGATAGTGAGGTTGGTGTTTCGTTTCGTTTTGTTTTTAGTTTTCAAAAATTAAATAAGGAGATGAAGAGTTGAAGGTCTTTGTCACCAATTTTACTACTGAGATCATTTTCATTTCTACGTTTCTGAAAGAATGACTAGAAACAGCTAAAGGATGACCACCAGATTGCAAAGGACTGCATTTATAAAGCGTCTTCTCTGTAAACGTGAATACTGTTTTTCCTCCTTGGAGGACGGTAACCATAGAGAATAAGGGGAGTTTGTTCGTGAAAATCCACTCTGCAAACAGGTGCCAGTAGGCATTTCTTGTTCTGAGCCAATCTTCTCATTGGCTTTCTTGCATGTGAACGGTATGATTTAAAATGATGCACACCCAGAAAAAGAAGCCAACTTCGCCTAGGTGAAGCACCATCATGCTGAGTACTTAGATTCAATCCCGGACAATAGGAAGATGGGAGGCGATAACCTCAAAGGCTCCATCCTTCCAGTAAAATGGATCTGTGCTGTGCACAGCTGCAAAAGAAAAAGCAATCCCTGGCAATTTTCCATGAGATGAATGTACACAACAAAACCAAATACCCTAGGTTTCTGAGCCTGATTTTTTTCCATCCAAACTGCAATACTCTGGGTATGTTTAACAATTAGGTAGGCATCAAGCTCCCAAACATTGCCCCCAGCTGTGCATGTGAGACACCAACAGTGACTGATTACTGCATGTGTTTCAGCAAACAACTGGATATAACTGAGTGACCTTTACAGATTTCTTCCTGATTTGAGACAGCGCATGGACTCATTGTGATGTGCGATATCTCAAGTTGTTTCATATTTGAAGTGTATTTCTGTTTAAATTTTTTTTTCTCAAAAATCACTTTCTCCTGATGTTTTCTTTCATGAGTCCTTCATTCTAGCTAACCTGCTGATGAATACATCAATCTTATACTTTGGAAGTGTGATTTGGCAGCTAATGCTGTGGGAAGTCAGATTAAGTTATTCAAGTTTTCAAACAGCTAACTCAGAGACTGAGTAATAATGTCTGCTAGCTATCCTCAATTGCTGATAGTAATGAGCTATTAGAAGAATGGACTTTAATGATCCAGGAAGAAGTAGGACCCATTGACTCTTGGTAAAAATCAGTGCCTTTTTGAGAGTCAGTTTTGTCAAAGGCTGAAGATGTACATTTCCCAGTCAGAAAAGCTTCAGTTGAACACATTCACCCATTTTAGGTTTAATCTTGAGTGATTCATGTTGTAGTTGGATTTTGAATGGGACACAGATAATCTGGTATTTTCTTTTATTCTGTATCATATTTTGCAAAATATACCGAGGGTAATAATATATGGGCTTAGGAATCAGAGACTGAGTTGGAAACCTGGGCTTAGGGTCCTCTATCCAAGCTACCTTGAGCAAATCACAAACATTTCTGAGCCACAATTTTCTAATCTTTAAAATGGGGATAACAGTGCCACCCAGGAGCGGGAGTGCCCAGCTAGCCCGTGCTCGGAGGACACGGAGGTCTCCACACAGGGGTGTGGCCGGCTCTGCTTGGTGTGGAGGAGGGGCGTGGGAACTCAACTGCATTGGGCCTATGGACAGTGCAGATCTGGACACGAACTAGATGCAAATGCCGGGCTTAGTATTTTCTGCTCCCTCAGCAGGAGAACTGATCTGATGGAGTTACGTGCTCTAACCCACTTTCTTTAGGGTGTCAGCAAACAAATATACCTGCTAAGAATTCCCTGCCATTCTGGGCAAGTTGCACAAGAATGACTTGAAAATAGAATACTGTATTTAGGAAAGGTGTCCATCTTTTTAAAGGATGTGTGTTTTGCACATTAAAAATACATACCGATAGCTAGTATGGTGGTGCACAGCTGTAATCCCAGCACTGGGGAGGCTGAGGCATAAGGATTGCTGTAAGCTCCTGGATACCCTGGCCTACAAAGCGACTTCAAGGCCAATCTGTACTACATAGTAAGACCCTGTCTCAAAAAACCAAAATAAACAAATAAACAAATAAATACATATTTGTGATAATAATTTCTATGCTTTTTGCACAAAAAAAAATTCTAAAGGAAAATGTTTCACACATCAGTCAGTTCCCAGGAGTCAAACTTTCCAAACTTGTAGCGTTTTTTGAGACTAGTACATGTGACACATTGAACACCAGGAATAGAAAATATAAAGCTGGATTATTCACTCGTGTTCATATTTTCTCTCTTGCTCTCCCTCCCCCTCATCTCAACAAATATTGTGGTGACTTAGTACATGGGCTACAATAGTCTCAGGCTTCTGTTTCTTTCATAACTCAGACTTCAGTTTTGAATGTTTTTTGTGGGGAGAAAAGGTTAATATGGTCCTGCCATATGCCAGAGGAAAGTATCAGGCATAGGGAATGAAAAAAATAGACCCACTTTGTGTTGTTGGAGAGTTTACGGTTTACAGTTTAGAAGTGGAGACTAACTGAAAAAGCAGTTAAGTGTAAATGACAAGCGTGATGTTTCACGTTGGGTACCAGGGGACACAGAAGAGGAGGGTCCACAGGTCAACCTAGGGATACAGGAGAAAATTCATGGTAATAACGATGATGCTAATGAGTATGTTTTAGTCAGATTTCCTGTTGCTGGATATAATACCTGACACCCACAACTTAAAGAGGGAGAGGTTGGGTTTGGCTCACAGTTTCAGGGAATTCAGTCCATGGCCAGCTGCCTCCAAGGCAGAAGCTTGGTAGGAGGACATGGTACAGCAAAGCTGCTTAGTTCATGACAGCTGGGAAGTAGAACAGGGAAACAGTGCCAGAGAGGAGGGAACAAGGACCATATACGGTATCCAAGGTCACACTTCCACGTCCCGCCCAGATACATCCAGAAGTGTGCTCCACTAATCCCCCTGGGTGGTTCCTGACACAGTCAAGCTGAGCAGTCACAAACTAAAACCAACATTTGTTGAGTACTTGGAACATACAAGTCACTTAATACATTTCAAAAACTCTTTTAAAGCCCCATTTTACAGAAGAAATAAGGGCTTAGAGACCTGAAGGATGCATGACTGAGATCAATAATGATTAGAGGCATTTCCACAGGCTACGCTTTATCTCACTTTGTTCAGTCTTTGCTATTTTAAACTGCATAGTTGCCTGCATTGTTCAAAAGGGCAGAGAATGCTAAGCTGCAGACTAACTGATCCAGAATGTAAGTGGTTATCTTCATCTACTCAGTCAGATCACAATTTCTACTCTACTTGTTTATGCCAAGGACAGAAACGACCCCAAATTCAGAGATGGGATGTAACAGTATTTTAGCAAAGACGGTTTTAAATGCTATTTTCTTTGTGCATATTTTGTTGTATTTCAGAGCCTTTTGAATGGACTGATGTGCTCTAAGCCTGACGATCCGGTGGAATACTTGGAAAGTTGCTTACAGAAAGTAAAGGAACTAGGTGGCTGTGACAAGGTGAAGTGGGACACATTTGTCAGCCAGGAGAAGAAGACCTTACCCCCACTCAACGGGGGACAGTCGCGGAGATCCTTCCTAAGAAATGGTAATGTATATGCAGAAGGGCAGTACTGTAGTCAGAGCAGTTCCCTTTAAAACACACCGTGGAGGCTACAGACCATAATTTAATTTATTAGGGTTGTAAGTGCTTGGGAAATTATGAGTCCTTGGGACATGATTAATCGCTTTCTGCTACTAATTCTAATCACCTCCATAGACAAACAAAATTATATACCATTGTCCAGTGGTTTGCTAAAGGCTTAATGAAATTTTTTTATTGCTGACTTCATTATTTTGTAAAATGAATTACATTAACCAACCCTGAATTTACTTTTAAATTGCAAATTGGCTTTTTCCAAATAAGGAGTAGAATACAGATAAAATTGGTAGCTATTACATAACAATTCAACATTTGTCATTAGCTAGATATTTGTATTGTTGATATGTTTCCAAGACCAGAATTCATATTAATATATCTGAATATGTGCATGTAAAGTTTATATTAATTGAAAAAGATTTATTAAGGGGCTCTTGAATGTGATAAGATTAGGCACCAGGGTGCTTTAAAAGAAGTGAACTTGTTACATTTTAGGAGGAGTTTTACAAGAATGAGAGTTTAGTAGAGAAGATTCATGGTGATCTGCTTTCTTTCTAAAAATATGTATTTGTCAGAATCATTGAAATCAATCAACATGAGGCAATCAGCCTTTCAGGCTCTGGATGAAGTTGTGAGGTATAAGGGTATGTGAAAAGGAGAATCAGTTGCCGCCAGGGAAAACTAAGTCCATTCTTTTGTAGTGCCCAAGATCATTCTATTTCCAAACCTTTAACCACCCTCTTAAACCACAACAGAAAGTTTCAGCTATATCAACAAAATGTGAGGTGGAGATGATTCCATTTGAGATAAATTCAAGAAGGAAATAGGTCATAAGTTTGTTCAACCTTACTCATGATCCATTTAGATTTTACTTGAATGTGGTATGTAAAAAGTCATGCTGTGTTAATTTTTAAGAAGCACAATCAGAAGCAAAGTAGAAATGCCATTTCCTCAGAAACATCTATGAACAGGAGAAGAGTTCCCGTCCAGGCGGGAGTCAATATTAGTGGTTTAGGTTTGCAAATGATTATCATCTATTTTACTAAAGATGTGACACATCCCCCAACCAAATTTCCTAATGGGAAAAGAAGCAACTGAGAGATCTGGAATTGCTGTTTAAAAGTAACTCCAGAAACTTTCACATGTTCTCATGGATACCACACACCACCTGGAAAAAAAAAAAAACAAAAAACAAGAATTGGAAAATATTTGGTGTGACCGTAAAGTAAAAGGTTAACATCCCAAGTCTTTGAGAGCATTTGACCTCATTACTGTACAAGGTCTCTCACTCTGATTCATCTTAAATAGATGGTAAAACAACATTCAGTACATAATAAACCATGCCATTACATTCCGTGGTAAATCCTAAGGTTGAGGTCATGTTTTCATATGCTTGCAAAATTGCATTAGCACCAAATATTTTTATTTGACCAATAGAACCACCCAATTCTAAAGAGATTTTTACTCTTCCATAGACTCAGTTTCTAGCTAATAGCAGGTTGTGAGCTCCAAGTTGAAAAATGCACTCTCTATAAATCAGTGAGGTTTCTGATCGACTGAGAGCAGCCTAGGATACACAGAATAGCAAATGAACAGAATTGCAGTTTAGGGCTCCAATCCAAACTGCATGCACACAGCTTAGATTTGGCACCTTCTATGGCCTGCAGTCACCAGAGTAACTTTAGCTGTTATGCTGCAGCACATTTCTTGGTCCACATTCACCTTTGGGTAGGCAATTTTAGCGCCCTTCAAAAGTTCGTGAACCTTCCCTACATGGCCAACTTGCCCCTCCTCACTGAGGCAAAAAGCTGCTAGAATCTGGCCCGGGGTCAATTAAATGTATGTTTTATGTCCTTACTAGATAAATTGAGATATTGCTAGAGAACTAGTAAATTTGAGATATTACTAGATTTAGCCTAAGATATTTTGCCATGTTAGAAATCAAATCTAAGGAGCTACGACGTCCAGTTAGTAAGTCACTCTAAGACTGGCAGGAAAGTAATGGTTTGCAACAAAACTGAAACTTGCCGTGGTTACTTGGCTTGATGCTGCATGGAAACTAGGTAAGCTGGACGTGTAACAGAGAATGGTGAGGGCTGTGGCCCAGTGAGAGAGCAGAGCTAGAGAGCACAGTCATCATCTGAAGCTCAGTTAGCAATTTTGGAACAGTGCTAACCAAAACACATGTGTGGGCTGTATGGCGTTCGTGAGTGACCGGCTTTGGAACTCTTGATCTACCAGAATAAATTAGCATGTGAAATGAAAATGCTGGTTTAACTGGCACTAAGATAAACTTGCTTGTTGAGTTTAGGGTTTCCATGCCTTCTAATACTTTTCTAGATTTCCCAGCCAGAGGTCTTTTCATTAATGATAAAGTAGAACCTTTCTGTGTTTTGTGGTGGCAAGAATGTTGTATCCACTATCTGGAACATGTGCTAAAAAATGGAAAATATTTTCTGAAGTGATTTATCCTGTCGTGATAACATTTTATTTTTATGAAATGTTTTACCTATTTATGCTTTGTAAGTTTTGGTTGTAATTTGTGAAATAGAAATTTATGAAACAGAATTTGTGAAATTCAACAAAATTGCTAACTGCTCAGTAACATAAACCAAAATGATTATCTCTAGAAATACAGGGATTCATGAATTTTTATAAAAATATCGACATGAATATTAACACAGAATTATCCTGAAAAACTATTCAGTCCCATAAAATATGTGTGTCACCTAAGCAAATTACTTTTCTAAATTAAAATATGACAAGGCCATAATAAAGTATTTGCTGTTCAATGTTAAATTTGAGAAGAGCATTCTTTGTTTTCCCCTTGTCATATGCATATGACTGAACAAATAATTAAATGTGGATAAGAGTTCTGGTCTCAACTATCTGTAGACATTTCCTGGAATATCTCATTGTCATATTATACTCAGCATGGCTAAAATCACTTACACCATATTTGCATCAAAATCAACACTTCTCCTTTTCCGGTTTCCATGAAATCAGTCACTGAGTCGATTGGGCAGTAAGATAACCATTTATTGAGTACTACTGTGTGCTAGATATTCTTTTAGGATGGAGATTGCAGCCAGCAAGAACAGGCAGATGCCTATCCTCAGGGAGTTTACAGGTTAGCAATGAAATTAGGCATTAAAAATTATTAAGTAGTGCTACAGGACATCTCATATGTATGGAACTGACCCTATTACCCAGGGGCTGAATCCATCCTAGGTGGGGGTACAGGATAGGTGTCCTGAAAGAAATGACAGGCTCATATTTGAAAACAGAAAGTGGAATCTGTGTACACTAGAGAAAGATGGAGAGGATTGCAAGTGTCCCAAGGAACAAAGAACAGACGTTCTTGACAGACAAAGGATGTGATGTGATCAGGAATGAGAGAAGCCCAGTATTTCTGCAACAGAAAAGAAAGATACTATATAAAGTTCAGGATGTTCCTGGTTCTTTTAGGCATGAAACCTGGAAATTGCCTTTGAGCTATCATTTCCTTTCATTTCTTGTATTCCAGCCTTGACCACATTCTTTAAATCTGGCCATTCATTTTCATTTCCCCGAATACTACTGTAGCCCAAGCCCGCATTTCTCTCCTGTGAATCACTTTAACAGCTTCCTGGCTGCTACTTTTTCTGCTCTTACTCTTTCTCTACTCACATCCATTCTAACATCCATCAGGTTAATAGTCCTAAGAAATCAATTTCATCCTATCAGTCTTCTAACCTTCCACCCCAAAACCTCCCCTGGATTTCACTCGATTAAAGCTAAACATTTTACCCTGATATTCAAGGTTTTTTACACTGTGGCCACATTCTACCTGCCCATCTTATCTTTTGGGTGATTTCTTTATGGGAAACTATCTTTTTCAGCAAAGCATTCTCTTTATTATTAATTAGCAAATATTTATTAGACACTGGCTGTCTGCCAAGCACAGTACTAGATGTCAAGAATTCAGAATTCCCAATAATAGGTCAAGTTCCTCTCTTGAGGCACTTAACGATCTAGTAGGAGACAGTGAATGAATGAATGAATGAAAAAATTCTCAGATGGTTGACAGAAGCTGTGCAGAGTATTAAATTAATGTTCTTGATATTTGAGAGACGGCTACACAAAATTAGAAAGTCAGGTAAGTCCCTTTATAGGAAGTGACATTTAAGCTGTGCTGTGACTGACAAGAAGCAGTCGGGCATGGGGCCAAGGGGTGAAGAGTGACTCAGATACTAGATTGTGGGGACAAATATGAAAGTAAGCAAACCAGTGAAGTGATTGTTACAAGTAGAAGAAGATGTCACCTTGGGAAAGGGTTGTAGAAGTGGAGATGAAGAAAAGAATATATACATTTGGGCACTAGGATACAGCTCAGCGGTATAGTGCTTACCTGGCCTGAAGTCCTGAGTTTGATCCCCTTCCCAGAAAAAAGAATATATACCTTTGGAATGTGTTTTGGTGATGAAGTCTATGGGAGTAGACAAGATAAGTGAGGGAAGACGGTAATCAAGGATAATGCTCAGGGTTCTGCATTATGTTGGGTGAATTAAATTTCAAGGTAGAGCAGGCTGCTTTTGTTAGTACCTTTCCCGACATAGCCTTTCCCATCATTTTCTAAGACTGTTCACTATCCTCTGCAGATACTCAATTCTTTTTATGAAGTTAAAACGTATCTAGTAAGTCAGTGGCCAATGGCCTCATTTATTTTATCCACAGAGAATGGCAAGTTGTAACTGACTGACACCCCTGGGAGGAGGTGCCAGCATTGTGCCATGTTTAGATTCCGTAGCTACTTTATCAGAATCCTTCATGCAAGGCCAGGTGGTATCCTGTTTGGTAGGTGCTCTCTGGAGAGTTAGGGCTCCTGAGATATTGACACATGAGGTGTGGAAGCCATGAACCATAATCACAGTAGACAGACAGGTTGAGACCATCTGTCTGCCTGCTTTGGGCTTGTCAGATCTGGCTTCTGGTCCTTTGTGTCATTTGTATTTCAGACTCTGAGTCTAGGTATTAGGCCCACCAACTGGGATATACCTTCTGCATCACTTTTGTTTGTCTTCCAAAGTTCTGGTCCTGCTTAAATCCTTTCCTGCCACTCCATCCCATATGGATTTGCCCATTCTTTGATCTTCTATGATGTCAACCCTGAGAGATTTCTCACTCTAGCACTTCTCCTGCCTGCTGCATGCAGCTGTCAGATATAAGCATATAAGCTCTAATTTGTAAGCACTGAAGAGATAGGACTACATCTTACTCTTCCACTGAATCACCCTCAACACGTTAACATGGCTGGCAGTATGGCAAATATTTGTTTCCATTATAGATCTAAATTTAAACCTTTACATTTATATTTTAACTCAAGTAAGTTAAAGATAATAAATATTGGGAAAGTAAAAGTAATGATGTCAAGGGCCAGCGATTTAGCTCAGTGGTGCCACCGCCTGCCTCACAGGCACAAGGTCCTGAGTTCAATCCCCAGTACAAAAAAAAAGTAATGATGTTGAAATATGTTCCAAATGTATAAATTATTTGCACCCTGCTATCCTAGCTTATCACACTATTCTAATTTTTTGTTTATCTTTATGCCACCAAAGCATTCCACTGGTCCACAGAGATCCTGGACCATAGTGACACAATGATTGGCTCCACAGGTAGCTGCATAAAGATGTGAAGGTTATATACTGCACAACTCAGGCAGGCACCATTTACAAAGGCCAGGATACATACAACCTACCAAGCAACACTAGACAGGGTCAGAGAAGGTTCCTCTAGTGCCAGGGATGGCCTAGTCTAGCTCACTGCCAGTTTTAATAAAGTTTTATTAGAACACAAGCATGTTCACTTATTTATAGATTGTCTGTGGCTGCATTCATGTGACCATGTCTGGCTTGGGTATAATACTGTGACTCTTAGAGGCTAAAATATTGTCTATCTGGAAAAATTACTGACCATTTAGAAAGTCTTCTTCCAATTGAAATGACAAATCAAACTCATTAATTAAACTCATTTTAACTGCTTAAAGGTGAAAAGTGTTTTATCATGCTTTTTTATTCCTTTTCAAAGTTATCTTACTTTTTTGCAGTAATGCCTGAAAATTCAAATTTTCCATATCGGCGGTATGATCGGCTCCCTCCAATCCACCAATTTTCCATAGAAAGTGACACAGATCTCTCGGAGACTGCAGAGTTAATCGAAGAGTATGAGGTATTCGATCCTGCGAGACCTCGACCAAAAATCATTCTTGTCATAGGTATGAGGACAGAAAGCAAAATTCTCTATCATTGCTAATTTTATTTATATGTTTATAAAAATGTGGATCGTATCACATTTACAAGTGCTTAGGTGGGTAATGACAAGCAACAGAAACAAAAGTTCAAGGGACAATAAAGGGAAATATTTTTAGAATAATTTTCAATAAAATAGAAATCATAATAATATAATTTAGTCTTTATTGTATTTTCATAGATTGCCATTACGATGTCATAGAATTCTTTATAATGAGTTGCAAGTAATTGTTTCAAGATGTATTGTCCTATAGTTTTATTTAATCTTTAATATAGATTCCAATAAAATGTTTGCTAAACATGATGTGTGGGGTTTTGTCCCCCTTTAATTCAATAAATTGAATTTTTATTCCATATTAACTTTAAAGGCAGTGGTAAATAACAATACATTGGTAGGAATCCACATAAATGAATCTTTCTTATGGCAAACCAGTATTCACAATAAAATTTAAATTTCCATGTTGTTGGACAAGCAAATATAATAGAAGAGCATTTTGTATCACGTATAATATCTGAGTATTAACCAACATAACAAACACATGAAGTTGCCAACTTGAAAAAAATGATGCAAACACACTGAGTTATAATAAGAATTTAAGTTGACCAGACTAGAGGAGTGACATTTACACCTATCAAAGTGAAGTGAAAATGAAATTACAAATATTTTAGCCCCTGAATTGTTAAAAACAGTATCACTGGAAGAGAGTTTAGAAATCAGCTTTGGAGAAGCTGGACAGTGGTGGAACGCTTGCCCAGTATGCACAGAGCCCTGAGTTTGATTCCCAACAACAACAACCACAACACACACGAGCGCACACACACACGCATGCACACACATGCACACACAGAGCAGAAGAAATCACCTCTTAAGTCAAAATATTCTTATGTTTTATGAAAGTCTCTACTGGGCCATAAACCTCTACTCTTAAAAATTGAATACTTTTTTGTATGTGCCTAAAAATTTGGGGTCCTTTCTTAGAAGATAAGGAAGCACTTCATAAAAAAAGAGAGCTACAAATTAAGAGCAAATGGAAATTATTTCACCACTTTATGGTTTATAGGTAAGCAGAAAACAGCCTCTGAATTTCATTTTCTTGCTACTGTTAGTAAAGGACTGGTGATTGTTAGCAGGATGAACAAATGGAACTTGATTGTCCATGAAAATGGTGTAATACCAAATTACTATGTGTAAAAGAGCGCAGATAAGATTTTTTGTGCGTTATGAATTTCATATGGAAATGAGTAAAGTATTTCAGTAACCTAGAATCTTTGGAGAAGACACAAATCTTCACCACTTCATGCTTCTTTTTATTCAGCAAGATCAACTTGCTTCCCAAAGATGTGATTCTGGTTACAGAATTGTGTGCTGTACATCTAAGGAGTACAAATAATTTTTATAGCATGGAGACAAGACAGACAAAAAAAAAACCTTAAGTTTTCTGAGAAAATTTGGGGCAATTTTATAAGTTTTGAGGAGTTGTACAATTTGTACCTGAACCTTACAAATTTTTATTAGCTCCAACCTGAAGAAAGTATGAAGCAGGTAGAGATGCCCACATGATATTATATTTAAATAAAATAAATTTTCCTTCTGAAACTACAGAATTTTGTTTAAAGCTGGCCTTTTTGGTACAGATACGAATCTCTTATGTTAATGTAATCATAAAATCTCACTTAGATGAATTTTAGTATTTATAAGTATTTGAAATAAGTAAACAATAAAATTAAGCTCATTGTGATTTTAGAAAGTAAAATTAATCTGGTAGGAAGTTTTAGTAATCACACTTATTCAACAATTAGTGCTCGTCTCATCAATGAACCAATCTTATTTTTTGCTTTGTTTTCTGTTATTGCCTCTATAAATTAACAAAAAGTTTTCCCTAAAGGTTCCATAACTTTTTCAATGTGTTTGAATTTTTTAATTTAATGTAATTTCTGGTGTCTGGGTTTGATGGCTTGTGAGATCAAATGTGGAAATAACTATATTCTGATAGATAGTTTTGATTCTTTAGATATTATATCAGATTGAATTTGTCAGTTGAGTTGGTCATGTAATATTTTTTTTCAAGCCAGTCCTTGAATAGCCCATGTTAGTAGGTCAAAGCATGTATTGGGGACCAAACCTACTTTTGAATTGCACGTAAAGAATTTAATTTGGGAGTAGCAGCAGTAGTTTATAATGTTAAGCCTAAGAGGATAAAATGTACAGCTTCTTAGAAAGAACAGGGTCAAAAATGCAAACAATTCCTGTGCTAAGTGTAGTAAAGCAATAAAAAAGTGAAAACTAGATATTATTCAGTTCGTTGTTTGGGATTGGATTCAGAAATTGTTCTTCTTACATTAGCTATCTGGGAATTCTGCTAACCAAATCTATCCACTCTAAGCTTTTCTTAGAAAAAACAGGCCTTTCTCTTTAACATATTATTTGAAGCACTAAGAATTACTAATTGAATGATTAGATATAAAATGACTTCACACAAAAATTTTCATATTAGTAGGGAAAATATCCACTCACTTTTGTGTTGATTTTAATTTTCAATGTAGCTTATAAATTATAATCATTATGTTTTGGAGAATATTACAAAAATATTTTATTACTTATTAGTGAATTTTTTAATATTTTACTTACATTCAATAATTTATGCTCAAGTCCTTGGAAAATAGTTCAATTTGTTACCAAATAACTACAAACTGGGCTGATTGTTATATACTGCACTTCAAAATTTATTCTGACTCTAGATTCTGTTGTTCAGAAATGCAAATTAACTAAAATTATACTAATATAATTTTAAAATAAAATCTAGTTTATATATTAACATTTTGATTATTTTATTTGTCTTTAAAAGTAAATGGCAGTTGCTGAGTAATGTTGCCAAACGTTGATTATTCCATACTAATATATCACATACTCAAAGTTCTTAGTGATACGAAGTTTTTCTACCTAGAAGACCTATTCCATTCATTCTGTATATTCATTACGTAAAACTTTTGAATTCAAAGGAGATAGGCAAGAACATGCATGAGTAAACAGATTTCCAAATAAACTGATTTAAATAAGCTGTCGCTACTGGTGTGCCTGTGATTATTTTAAAAACTGTTACATTTCACCAATTTATACATTAACTCTTTATTGGTATGATACACATTTCTGTTAGTTTTATCATTGTCTTTTGTGTCCCGTAGATTTTTCTTTGATTGTAAGGGGCTAACAGATTTTACATAGAAAAAATGTCAAGGTTTTTTTTCAATTACGTTGTTTAAACAAAAGTTTTTGAGCCAGGCGTGGTGGCGCATGTCTGTAATCCCAGCACTCAGGAGGCTGAGGCAGGAGGATTGCTGCGAGTTCGAGACCAGCCTGAGCTACATAATGAGTTGCAGAGCAGTATGAACTACATAGTGAGACTCTGTCTCAAAAAACCAAAAAAAAAAAAAAAAAAAAAAAAAAAAAAATGTTTTTGACTAGTGGCTATTGAACCCATGGATGGTAGGCAGGACTCAACCAAGACCTACGTCCTGAGTGGCCTCCCCCGAATTTTTAAATTAGCTCTCTGCGCATGTGCGAGTGTGGCTGTGAGCATGTGCGCATGCGTGGCGCTGGAGAGCCAACCAATGCGCATGCTCACTTGGTAGTCTGTTGCTGAGCTACATCCCCAGCCCAATCACTTTTTTTACTAACAGGTAGGGGAAAATGTTTCTTTCAACTAATAAGGTTGGTCAAGGCAATTCTGTCCTTTCCCTGGCCCTCAATCTTTTCTTGCTCTGCATTCAGGCAGCCACAAAGCCAACATCCGCCCACCCCGATTCACCTCGGAGTCCAGAATCCTCGTCTCGGTGCCAGGTGTCTAAAAGGAGCTCCTTGTTGTGTGAGGTCACAGTTTCACCTCTTTTGCATGATAGGAGGTCCTGGAAGCGGGAAAGGTACTCAGAGTTTGAAAATCGCCGAACGCTACGGATTCCAGTACATTTCGGTGGGAGAATTACTGAGAAAGAAAATCCACAGCGCCAGCAGCAATCGGAAGTGGAGCCTCATTGCCAAGATCATTACCAACGGAGAACTGGCCCCGCAGGTACTGGGGTCCGCTTCGCTGCTTTTCTGCAAAAGGTGGCGATACCGCTGTGAGGGCACGAATTTTAACCGTGGTTTCTCATCTTTTCTGTCTGAAAGGAAACAACGATTACAGAGATAAAACAAAAATTGATGCAAATACCCGACGAGGAGGGAATCGTTATTGACGGGTTTCCACGTGATGTTGCCCAGGCTCTGTCTTTTGAGGACCAAGTAAGAAAGTTGCCTTACCTTTTAAACGGCCTACTTTTTACTGACAATTTGGGGATTTAAAAAGAGGTTTCTTGGAAGACTCACTTTTTTTTAATGAATTCTGGTCTGAAACAGGCAAGTACAACAGGATGGGTTGGCAGAGGGTTATTGCCTTGGCAAAGGCTTAAAAATGTAAGAGTCTCTGCCAAAAGGAAAGAAAAAAAAGCTAATAATAGAATTCATTGTTTTTATTAAAAAATGAAAATCCATCTAAACTTTATTTCAGAATACTTAAGATTACTTTTTTATACTTAATTAAAAATAAGCCTTATTCAGTTGTGTCTAGGGATGTAAACTATCACTCTGTACTTATGATTTTGCCAATTAAGAAAGCACTCTTTATGGGATTGTAAAGTCATGTACTTTCTATCTGTATTAAGACAGAATTCAGGGCCAGAGATTTAGCTCAGTGGTTCTGTTGATGGCCTCCCAAGCACAAGGTGCCGAGTTTGATCCCCAGCACAAAAAAAAAAAAAAAAAGATACCATTTAGTTGCCAAAATTTACTTAAATTTGAGTAGTCTATGCCTGCTTGATTCCTAATACACCTGTCTTAAGGGAAATAAATAAATTAAAATATTTTGTATTTTTTTAATCTTCTGAAAGTATATCGTTTAAATTTTAATTACAAAAATAATACATATGCATAAAATTTTTTTTTGAGTCAAGGTTTCACTTGGTCATCTAGGCTGGGCTTGAACTCACAATATTCTTGTCTCAGCCTCCCAAATATACGTGTGGCCCAATATGGTCATACATACCAGTAATCATACTCTGGAAGGATAGGGAAAGTGGATTACAAATTGAAGCCCAGCCTTAGCAACTTTGTGACTTGCAAGACCTTGTCTCAAAATTTAAAAATATAAAAGACTGGGGATATAGTTCAGGGTGAAGGCCTGTATTCAACCCCCACTTTCATTAAAAAAAAAAAAAGTCCTGGGCCAGGGATTTAGCTCAGTGGTGTCGCCACCTGCCTCATAAGTACAAGGTCCTGAGTCCAATCCCTGGTACCAAAAAAAGACAATAAATTAGTCCTGCTAAAAAGGGGAGTCCATTAATACCTAATACTCTGCTTTCAGCCACTGCTCCTCTTGTCCTTAGAAGTGGAAATATTGTTTTGTTTGTTATATGTTCTTCCAGGTCTTTTTCTAGACTTCTACACACATACACACAGGGATACACACAGACGAGCACTTGCACTTTAAATTTTCATACCCTTTTCCAAGCCGCCTTCTAAAAACACTTTTCCAAGTTAAACCCTCGCTAGTATTGAATGAGAATGTCTATTTCTCTGGACCCTTTCCAACTAGATATAATTCATTTTCAAAAAATTTGCCAACCTGATAACTGAGAAATGGCACCTCATATTTTAAGTCTGCATTTTGGGGGTTACTGTTAAGCCTGGTACTGAACATATTCATACACTTAGTGACTTTTCTTGTATAAACTGCTTGTTCCTCTTTTGCCCGTTTATCTTTATTTATTTGGAAGAGTGTTCGATGTTTTGCGGACATTGTATGAGAAAGGATTAGGTGGAAATAAGAATTAAGCTTATGTCTCACGTAAAAGAGAAGCCTGGAGTTCGGTAGTCCAAATCAAGAAAATAGCATTGTAAAGTATCTCTTTCAACGTTCCAGTTCATCTGTCTCACTATAAGTCCCGAATCTCTGGTGATCTGGCAGTTTAAGGGCTTGGTCTAATTTTCGTGGCCTGGAAGAGAGGAAAGACTGGACAGAGCTGCTTAGTGCTTTATTCTTGTGTGGCTGCTACACCACATTACTGTTGACAATGGGTGTAGCGGCGGTCGTTCCCTGTGACTCTTGGCTGGGCGTGATGGAGAGGCAGGCAGGCATTACCACCTAGACCTGGCTCAGCCCGAGTATTAAACGAGCTGCATGTGGTAGGTACAAGCAGATGGAGCTACGTGCTGCTTTTGCTACTGCTTTTGTAGGAAAGAAAAGGTTTGAATCCAGAGCCTTGAATGTGCTAAGCACATGTTCTACCACGGAGCTACACCTCCAGTTTTGTTTTTTGTTTTTTTGTTTATTAGTTTGTTTGTTTGTCTTTGGCATGGGGGATTGAATTCAGGACCTTGCACTTGTGAGGGAGGCACGGTGCCACTGAGCTAAATCCCTGGACCTTTCTCTATTGGTTTTTAAATGTGCTGTTAGGTATGTCTCTTTTTCCCTGGATGATAACTCAGGCAGTTCCCTTGGTTTTTCTTAGTGCTTAAGAAACACCAACAGATAATCTCATTCTTAGCTATTAAAAGTTCTCACCCAATCTAAATCAGAACTGCAGCTTCTCAGTCAATGTAACATATCTCCATGCAGGTGCACAACTTCCTCCGAGGTCTAAGGTATATGAACAGGTGAATTTCTGATAGCAGTCATATAGTACAGCCTCTGTAACAAAAAGAACTAACACTCAAGTAGCTCATAGAATGAAACAATGGTTTTGGTTTTCTGTTAGGGAGTAGCCTCCTTGTGGACAGTCCTGACTGACTGGGCTGCTTTTCTCCTTGAGGTCACTAGGGACAGTGGTTCCATCACAGCAAGGGACCCAAGGGGGTCCCCCACAGAGGAACAGGGACCTCAACTTCCTCCCCTCATGGAGTAGGTGGTGGCTGAGCACCACCACAGAACAAGAATTTCAGGACACTTCAGAGTGAGGCAGATCTATTAGGTAGTTAGATGGTAGGAGAACAAGAAGTCTCGCTGAAGTAGCTGGCAGGGATACACTCTGGTACAGGGGTTCAAATTGGTCCACTCACAAGAGCATGGGGCTAGCTGGTAAGGATTAGCTGAGGTGGGCTGGAATCCAGTGGATCATTATCTCAGTTCTGGTTCCGTAGTCTGTCAGTGTTCACTAGAGAAACAGACTTAATGCAAGATATATAGATATATTAGGATTTACAGGTTAGGCTTACAGTGGCTGCCCACAGAGTGGAAAGGTGCAAAGGGCTGTCAGTGTGCTGGAAATCCGAGGGATCCAGTCAAGGGTTGAAGGCCTGGAGTTCAGTATAGTGTCCCCTGCAAGTCCCTGTCGGGAGGCTAAAGGGCCTGGGATGGAAGCCATGAGACGCTGTCCAAGGTAAAGGTGAAGCCTGGAGCTCCTCAAAGAAACAGAAGCGAGCCTTCGTTCTTCCTTACCCTTCTGTTCTATTCAGGTGAAAGGCCTATTGGTGGGCGCCACTCACACCCAGCGTGGTCTTCTTCTTCAGAAAATCACTTCAGCCACACCAGAACTATAGTAATCCAATTTAGTTGGGCATTTCTTACTCAGGATGACACAGTCACCTGTCACACACCTCTCTTTACAGCTTGAGGGGCAGTACTCTTCCCATGTTGTCCTTGCCTGGGAAGGAGGGGGCAGCCTTGGTTCTCATGGGGTAACTGCTCCTCCCTGGGGAGAAGTGATCTCATCAGGTATGGTTTGCAAGGCTCGGCTTTTCTTGGAATCTGAGGTGTCCTCAGTTGGAAGACTTTTAGGGCATTGCTCCAGGATGGTCTGCAATTGGACATTGAGAAAGCTGGTATTTGAGACTTTGAACATCACTTCAGTCACTCGTATTCTAGTATCTTCAGTCTTGATGGGGAGCTGAGGAGTAAACACAGGGCTAATAAACTTACAGTATGGACTCCCTGTGGGATTAGTAGGCCCACCTGCAGGGCTGAGCCCGGCATTTAAGGAAATAAGGGGAACCAAAAAAAAAAAAAAAAGAGTTTCTCTGTGCCCACTTTACCTGTTTTTATCTCTTCTGTCCTAACACAGTCCTTCCTGGTTATCTGTCGTCTCCTAGGACACTATCGTTGTCATGTGTGGTTGAAGTAGGGTTGCTACCACATTTGGGTCCCACCTGGCATGTAAGGGGATGAGAACACAAAGGTCTAGAGTCCCAGCTCTGGAAGTGACATTGTCACTTCTGCTCATGTGGTGTGGTTAAGAATTTAACCAGGCTGTCGCTGTGCAGAAGATTGGGAAATATGGTCCCTCCGAGCAGCCACGTGCCTCTGCACCCCGTTTACTAAGAAAAGTGCGGAGAAGCCCTTGCAGCCCCTACAGCACCAGTTCACCCCCTGTCCAGGCCATTGCCCACCCACTGCTTCCTTCCCACCGTGGAATGTGCTCACCCCAAGAGGAAAACAGCCTGGGTCCCATCACAGAATTCAGAGCTTCAAAGCTCTACTTACCATCCAGTTCCCTGCATTAGGTCCAGATTTGACTCTCATACTCAGCTGCTTATAAATTAAACTTCCGTTTCTCTTTTCTCCCTGTCATGAATAAACTGGAGAAGCAAGACTAAAGTGTGTAGAATAAAGCCCCCTATTCAGAAAAGGGAAGCTTGAGAGAACACGTGGTGTCATTGAACCACATCTAGGGACACATCCTGTTAGGCAGGGGTAACAGTGACCCCAAGATCACCCACTGGCGACCCCTGGAGTGCTGTTTTGGAGTAAATCTACTTTTCCTGAGGCCTTGGCCCTGTGAGCTGTTCTTCTCTGTGCATTACCCCGCATGGCCACATTGAGGAGTTGAGTTGGACCCCATATGCTCCTCAGATCTGTTCTACATCTGCAAAAAATACAAGCCTTTCTGATTAGGCATATTTTGACTTTATGGATCTGTGTACCCCAAAAGTGGTAAACTTCTGCCCTTATTGCTTCCTTCATGTCTGGAACTGCACTCACAGTTTTTCTCCAGACATGGCTATTAAGCTGGTTTATTTCTGTGTTTTCTCCTTTGAATGCCAGTCACGTTGAGATCCTCTAAAACAGCAGGCTCGGGTGGAAGGCGTCCTCTTCTGTCTGGGTTTTGCTTGGGAGCTCTTGTTTGGTGGCAGTTGAAGGTTCATGTAAGACCTTTATGCTGTGCTATTTGCAAGTTTGGAAACAGTGGGCTTTTTTGACCTTGGGAGATCCTAAAGTGCTAAATGCTCTGTTTGCTTTTATATCTGCTTGA